TTGGACATTATGTAATCCTTTGGGGAAGTATTTTCGGTTTTGCCCATTTTTAATTACGTATTATTTATCGTTCTGAATTGCATAATGCACCCGTTTTTTTTTTTTTTATTTTCATCGGCGGTTTTTTTTTTTCTGCGTTTTTTTTTTTTTTTTTTTTTCCTGCTTCTCCCCCCCCTCTCCCTTTTTTTTTCTGCGTTTTTTCCCCCGTTCTTTTTCTGCGTTTTTTTTTTTCCAAATTCTTTTAGCCCGCTTGAGGATTTTTCCTTTGTCGAACGGCCAATTTCCGTCCGCGTTCTGAGATGGACTACCCAGTAGTGTACACAAGAGGTTCTGAACAGGGGGAGTTGTAAGTAAGAAGATAGAAAATGAATTGATTTTTTCTTGTTTTTATTTTTATTCGCTTTTGCGCTCTGACATCTTTGTGACAATATATACACATACATGTGCACGTACACGTACATATTTGCCCCCTTGAAATTACCATTTTCTTTTCTCGCCGAGTAGAAGGCATGGGCGCTTAACTGTCTCGAAAAGCCGAATGGAAGGCATGGCCATTATTGATGTATCTTTGCTGAGAACTGATCTCAATGCAGCCAGCTACAGTTTGGCCGTCCCTGTCAATTAGGGAAACATGCTAGGAAAAAATGGTCTTAATGGTCTTACTGAGGGCATACTCACAGTGCTATCGTAAATGTATCTGACCGCAATTACGGCCTGACGTTGGTGTATCTGACCGCAATTACGTCCAGCAATCATCAGTAGGAAAGTCTCAGCTATTGTGAGGATTCCCTGAGTGGACGTTAAGGAAGCGGAAAGAGAGAGCGACCATAGGAGTAAAAAAAAAGAACTACATGGTAATAAAAGTTAAAACATGCGGAGAGCACTGTAAAAAAGGGGGAAAAAGTATAGGCTACCAGCCGCGCCGCCCGGGTCACCCTATTTTCCGGGACGGCCCGGCCGTGCAAGGACCAGGGAAGGTCCTAGCCCAAAAAAAAAAAAAAAAAAATCCGAAAAAAAACTATGTTATGCAGAATAAGAAACTGAACAACTTTTGCCTCAGGGTCACATCGAAAATCTTTAGCAAATTTAAAATAAAAAATAAAGTTCAAAAATATATATATTGTCACAGCCCCTCGTTTGTTGTCCTCTTCTCTCTCTCTGCCTACGGTTTACCGGGCAGTTCTATTTGTGACGATATATATATATTTTTTAGCCCGGCCGGGCAAGTGGCCCCGGGGCACTCTGGTAGCCTAGGAGAAAAAGAAAAAAAGAAGAACGTAATGGAGTAAATAGCCGTAGGAGGGGCCCCTTCTTTGTTTAAAAAAAAAATAAAAGGAAAAATATCCGTAGGGAGGCGGAATGAGAGAGAGGGGTCAGAACGGTGGGGACCACGGTGGGGGGGGTTGGAGAGGATGGGAGTGGTGGGGAAGAAAGAAGACAATGAAGCGGGAAAGAAGAAAACGGTGGGAAGAAGGAAATTGGAGTGGAAGGATGTAGAACGTGAGGTCAAGGGCCAGTGAGAGGCGGAGAAAAAAGTCAAATCCTCCGTTGCAAGAACGAAATCGGGCTTAAAAAAAAAAAAAAAAAAAAGGAAATCGGAGTAGCAAAGACGTAGAACGTGACAGGCGGAGAAAAAAGACAAATCGGGAAGGACACGAAAGAACACCAGAGGCGAGCGGGGAAAAAAAGAGGTTGAGATAAAAAGACAATGAAGCAAAAGAAAGAAAAAGAAAGTGGTAGGGAGAAGGAATGGGAGAGTGCGGAAGCGGAACGACGCTTGGAGAATGGATGACGCAAGGAAGGATTATGATAAGGGCGACGGCCTTGAGATATCATCATTGAATTTTTTTTTATTATTATGTTTTTTTCATCTTCTTTTTTTTTAAAGAAGAGGGATTACCAAGTCAAGCAATACACACATGAAAGTGGAGTCCCAAGAGGTAAAAATATATATATGTGATGGCGTGTGATGGGGTGTGAACCGACAGTCTGTAGAGTTTTCCATCTGGTGTGGGTGAGTGATAGTCTACTTTGATTTTGGTTAAGGTAGATTATCATTTACAGTGTAATCAGTGAGGGGATTCTGCAGGCTGTTGAGGGTTCAGCCTCCTGACGAGTCGGTGAAACTCCGACGAAACAGTTTGTCACAGCCCCTCGTTTGTTGTCTTCTTCTCTCTCTCTGCCTACGGTTTACCGGGCAGTTCTGTTTGTGACGATATATATGTGACAATATATATGTGACGATACATATATTTAAGGTTTTTTTGTTCTCCTTGTTTTTTTCGCTTTGGCGCTCTGATATTATGTGACGATATATATATGTATATTTTTTATAATAAAGAAAATGGCGATGGCCTTGAGAGACATCATCATTGAACCGACCGTCCCAGGAGATTCAGAAGGAATGATTTTGTGCTGGTCATCTGATTGTATCTGGACTCGAACTTGGGTCTGTGTTTCAGAAATTCGTGGGTGTATCAATATCAACTGAACTACCTTCTTCCCCCGAATACAATGGACGGTCATTATA